CAATGCCCCTGAGAACAGCCTCCATCCCTCCCCCTAGGCAACTACTGGAGGGAAGCTGCCCCCGCCCTGTAGACTGTCTGTGACTCAATAGATTCCCCCGGGCCCTGTGCTGCCCAGGCGGGTGGGAGCCGGTGCCGCTCCAGGCTGGGTCGGGTCGGTTCCCCCTGTGGGAATAGAACCAGCATCTGTCAGGGCGTGGGGAGGGGCTGAAACACTGACTCAGAGATCGCCCCCCACCCTCCACGACCACTGGTAGAGCAGACACAGGCCCTACGGCCCTGGCCAAGTGGGGGGCCCCACAGCTCTGGCTACCGGGCGAGCAGGAGAGGAGAAGCCCAGCATGGGGGGGTAGGGGAAGCCTTAGCAACAGGACCTCCACTGCGGCCCCAGGATGGCCTCAGGGCTGGGGGACTCTCACTCCCCGCTGTGCCCCAGGGCCGAGGTGTGGGAACAGAGCTTCTCCGGTCTTGGGGACGCAGTAGTGTGGGGGCCATAAAGTAGAAAATGGGTTGCAGGGCTGCAGTGGGGGGACAGAATGGGATCGGACTGTGGATGGAATAGGGCGGGGTCCTGGGAAGGGGGCAAAGGGGGTGGGGCCGTGGGTGGAGTTGCAGGCCGAGGAGGTGGGACAGCAGAGGGAAGGTAGGTGGAAGGGGTGGGGAGGGATCCCCCTTTCTCTGGCCCAGGGCCCCAGGAAACCTTATTTCATCTCTGCCCGTGAATCAGCATCGATCGTTACTGTCAGTCCCGGGGAGGGGAGTTTGTGGTTGGGGACGGTGCCGGCTCGGCAGCCCCTGGGCCCTGCCCCCTTTGTGAGTCCCCAGCGCGGGGGCAGCCGGGGGATCATCCCTTTGGAAAGGCCCCTGCTCTGCAGCTCCCCCTGGGGGCAGGATCCCCCCTTCCTCGGCCCTTAATCTCCAGGAGCTGCTGCTCCCCCTGGTTGGGGAACTCCCCAGTGACACTGTCCCCGCTTCCTGTCCAGGCGAGTCCTAGGGCTCTGGGCAGAGCCTGGCTCTGAGCATCCCAGCAGGTGCCGACCTTCTGAGGGTCCGTCTGGGAGCGGGGACGTGGAGCCGGGCCCCTCACCTGCTACCACCAGCTGCACCCGGTCGCTGGGCTGCGAGGAGACGAAGGGCTCTGATCGGAGCCGGTAGCTGCAGCTGTAGTTCCCACCATCCTGGCGGCTCACGGTGGGGATGAGGAACTCGGCCCCATCCCCAGCAGGGTCCATGTGTCGCTGTGGGTTTAGGTCTCCAGCCTTGTGCAGGAAGAACCTCATGTCCCGGCGCTGCCCCTGACACCGGATGGTGACATCTGCCCCTGGGGCGGTGACCCCAGTGGGGCTCAGAGAAATGGAGGGTCTGGGTAAACTGGGATCTGCGCACAGGAGACAGGCTATGAGAGCCAGACCCAGGCACCCACCCGACCCGGCCTTCAGCTGCAGAAGAGAAGAATGAGGGGGGATTTGATAGCAGCCTTCAACTACCTGAAGGGGG